TGGACCAATGCACCTTTTGTCCTTCTCCTATCAGTAAGATGAACAAAATATGCGAGATGACACATCCATGAAAAAATGATAAAACTCTCATCAAAAGATTTTACTACCAGTGTAGCATATATCTTTGAATCTTCCCTAGTTAGATGCTCATGAGAATCAAATGCATTTAATGGAAATATAAAGTCAACTTCATGTTTAAACGAGTTTATCACAAAATAGTTAACTTCATCCCAATCAATCATGTAGAACACAACATTCTCATCCCTAGAATCTACCTCAACCTTAAGGTCCTCTATCTCATTCAATATATTATCTATATTAAGCACATCTCCTAGACAAGAACTTTCCAGAAGAGAACTAGATTCCTCTAGCATTGAAACCTTAAACTCGGGATCATGAACACTTAAAGCACACAGATGATTGATACCAAAACATACTTCATGATAATCCCTCGCAAGCTTTTTTACTCTAAGAGTGTCTAGTCTTTGAGTCTCACATATTAAATCATAACACTCCTGAATGAGCATGGGAGTCTGCAAACTAGAAGCTACATCTTCACCACAAGGCATGTAACTATCCTCATAAACATGAAATTCAAAGGTTGAGTCGTATGTACCTTCTAGTTGGCATGGTGGAACCCAATAAATTACCTCTTCAAGTGCCTGAGCTACCGTAATCTCAAAAAATGTGAGCTCCCTTCATAGCCGCTAAGTCTCTCCTTGTCAAGGTTGGATTTTCCTTGTAAAGCTCATCCAACTCCACTTTTTGTTGTAGTGTATGAACACTCTCATCAAATGGAAGCTCCACATAAGGCTCATCTTCGAATGTGTCTTCTTCCTCTTGTGGTTTATCATTGAAGTCCATGGTCATCACTTTGGAAACCTATACAAAAATAAATAAAAAATTAAAAACGTTAGTGTATTAGACTAAATTTCAATCCCAAATTCGAAGTCAATGTAATTGGTCCCCGGCAACGGCACCAAAAACTTGATAACACAAGAGTTTAACC